CAGTTCAGCCTTGTTACCTTAATTTCAAGGTTTCTAGTATCCAAAGATACCTGGCAGAGAAGAGTCCTTCTAAAAATAAAGCAAGCAGGACAAATATAGAAGTGGGTTAATAAGGTCATGCAAGTTACAAGATTACTAAGCAATTTGTTTGACAGAATAAGTCTTTTTTCTGATGAGAAATTACATATGTATTTAATTCCTCTGCTGTCTTAAACCTTTGCACTATTTGAATGCAGTCAGGGTGCAAGAATACTTTGTTACGATTGTTCTTGAGAATGAAAATTTGCCTGTTTTGAGAATGGTATATATATTCTGTCATAGCTGACTCACTCTGTTGTGAGATGGTTAAACCCTTATGTGTGACATGATGAGTTTCCATTTCCACAATATCAGGGAGAGCCGAATACTGACATGGAGCTGCAACATAAGTTGTTCTTGTTGTGAACTCTGGTTGTGTGTATCCTTGAATAAGAGGATCAGATGGATGAAGAACTTTTGACCTGCTTGTCGCTTTCTTTTTGCAAACGCTTATTAAAATAGTAAACAGCTACTCAAAAGACCTGGAGGTAAAGACCACGAGTTGAGAAAAGCTGTTTATCACTTTTAGTATCAGAGGCAGCATTGTATATTGATATGTTGTTAAAGGACATGTATTATATTGTTTTCTATAATTAGTTAGGCATCCTTCAGTCTCGAGAGACTATGGTTAACGTGCTCTGTATGGAAGACTTGGAACAGCGTCTAGTGTGGCTGAGAAGGCCAATTTGAGAGTGACAATCCCTTCCACACTGAAGACAAATACAATCTGTCCCCTGTTCAGCGCCCTGATTTTGCTGGTTTCGGGACTGCCTCTTTGCCTCGGCCTGCTGGACAAGGGTCTCTTCAAATTGGGAGAGGCCGTGATGCACCGCCTGCCTCAGAGGTCAAGGTTTCCCATCTGTTGAGGTCTATAATATGTATTCTATAATATGTATTTATTTATAATATAATATAATATGGACAGAACACTGGACTGGTTAGGTGGTGGTTCTGATCCAGCATGGTTCTTCCTGTGTTCTGGTTATTTCAAGACAAAAAGTGTAGACATCCTGCTTTGTAGCTGTGAAGTGTGTGTTGTATTTTTGGAAATAACCAGACACTTAGTGGTGGAGGCATAGCTAGCTGTTCAAGAAACACTCCAGAAGTAAGAAGAGCTTCCGGAGAGCGATCTAACTGTGAGGGTGGTTTCTGGTTCCAGTTTTTGGTGGAGCACGTACATTTTTCATCTTACAGGTCAGTTTCTTAACTGACGAGAAGCCACGCTGAATGATCTTTTGAGCATGACGTTGTGCTACAGTTAAAACAGGCAAGTAATGTTCTTGTTGTTGTGATAGTGTTGGCAAATACGGAGGAACGGGGTGGTTTTGTTTTCCTCGGTGGGTGCCTAAGGCGCATTCTAAGCACATTCTCTTTTGATGTGTTGATAATTGGGTTCAGTTTCCGATCTCTCATTGTGCAACCCACAAATTTCTGTGCCTTTCCATTTAACTGTTGCCATGCTTATTCTGGAACCTACTGGGCGTCTACTGGTCCTGCGCCTTTTGTGAATCAGTGTATTCCTAGTGAGTCCATTCCCTTTTAATTTCTCGTGCACAAGAGCGAGTGTACTTGTTCATCTGGAGTGTCTTTGCACCGCATGTGAATTCGAACCCTTAAGTTCATAGAAAAAAAAACATGCTCTTTCCTTTTTTTAAAGAATGCATGTAGACAAACTGGCAGCTTATGTGCAGCCCTGTCTTAAAGCAGGAGTGGGAGGCTCAATGCCCCCAGATCCTGGTGGACCATAACCTCTGTCAGTCCTAGCCAGGGGTTATAGCATGGCAGGAGCTGCGGCCCAAATAACATCGGGGGGGGGAGCTCTTGTTCCTTATACCCTGTTTTCCATCTAATCAGGTTGGGGATAGGGAGGCATTGTGCCGATATTTAAAGATAGGATTTTTGGGAAGTGCTCAGTCTTTCTGTCCAAGAGTCAGTCAGTCTAGAAAAACTAATCTAGGGCAAGAAGAATATGAAGACTGGCTTATTGCTTCAAGAACCAGAGTTTTGTTATGTACAGTATTATTAATGAAAGGGGAATACGCTGTGGATGGAGGCATGCTTGCCGATAAAGTTAGTAACAGGAAGTATAAAAGGCATTGTAGTTCTCCTTGATTAAGTGGCCTATTCCTACCAAGTAGACATGGTAGCTATAAATAACAGTTTATGCTGTTTAAAGGGTCACTCAGCTGTATGTATTTTTGAGGGTGAAGCATTAAGTGTGTACTTTTCCTGGTTTAGCCCATGGCGCCTGTTGCTTCCAGGCAGCACCATGTTGTCTGGTCCTGGATTCTTGCTGCTTTGTCTCTATGACTCCGATAGAAAGCGATTTTTGTTACCCTCTTTATTTTCAACAGGTCTTTCCACTCTGTTTTTAATCTGTACCGCAGTGGTTTCCAAGTGCTGAAGTATGGAAGGAAGGCTCCTATTGTTTCTATACATGGCTGAGTGGTGATGTGTGTGTTCGTTTCGGGTGTGGGACGTCTAATTGTTGCTTGAGAAGCAAGGTGCTGCAGGTATTCAGGGAAGCCAGAGCAGCTACAAGCCATTCATTAAAGCGCACCCATGAAATTTCCCTGTATTTATGAAGCGGCAGGTTGTTCATCAGCCAAGACGGGGCTTGCCTGAGTGTGGATGCATTGTTGGTCTGCAGGAACTGGGTCTCCAGCGTGCCTGGAGACTGGCAGCTCGTGGGGGTGAGGCCGGAGAGCCTGCAAGCGTCTCTCTTGCTTGCAGTTTGCTTATATCCCCTTGCTGTTCCCTCCTTTGTTTTCCTGGCTCTCCGTCCGCGGGCAGGCCTTGGTGGTTATTTTTCTCTGCTAGTTGGAACACGGTTGCTTCAGTACAGCGTCACTGGTGAAGCCCTGGCTTTTAGCAACTTCCCATAGAGAATCACAGCTTGCATTTTTTTCGAGCTACTGATGACTCAGGTGAGAGCTGCTGCTTCTTCTTTTTAGTAAGCACCTGAGGTTCTTTACTAAATTGTACCTAGGGTTCCTATAGGCATTCTTGTACAGATTTTGGAAACAGTTTCTAACCAAAAGGCAAGTTTCCATTTCTGAAATCTCAGATTGGTGGGTCATCCATGTCTTACAGTCTCCGGATTGGGCACCATTAACACCTGATAACTGAAAGCAAGCAATTTGCAACAGTATTCTGTCGCTATTTAGGCAAAACAGCCGTCTGTCCAGAGAGAAAGCAGGGACTTCTCATGTGCTGAATTAAGCTCCTGGATTTTGAGGTTGCTTTCTTTGTTGATGCGTGTGGGAAGGAGGCTTCTGGTGAGAGAATTAAGCATTTGTAATGACTTTAATTGCTGTCTGCATTTGTGGGTTCTTGAGACACGGAATGGATCTATCACCGGGACTTAAGTTTCTTGGGAAAACCAAAGGCAGAATTTTGCAGTCCAGAAGACCAAAGCTTGCCAAGTCGGCGCAGGCTGGATATGTCGAATCAATTACATTTGTATGAAATTGGATATAATATGAACTGAGGCAGTAATGATGTGGGTGTTCTGCAGAGTGAGCTTGTGGGATGGATGAAGCATGCCTATGTAGAGTAGATCTGCAGTCATGTGTGTTGGTGGGAAGTGGCCCTGAGGGGAGTGAAATGTTGCTGTTTATCTGGCGAGGCTGGAGAGTCAGGAAGATCTTGTAGGTTGTGAACATCATAAAATCTGAACAGAGGAGTGAACCTTTATAACAATGTGGGAAACGTAATTATAAATAGATTCACTAATAGTGAAAGACACTGTACAAGAGATGAGATATTGGGACTCCTCTCCCAGAGGAGAGGAATACAGTGGTGCCTCACTAGACAGTTACCCCGCATGACAGTTTTTTTTTTGCTAGACGTAGACTTATTGTGATCACTATAGCGATTCGCAAAACAGTGATTCCTATGGGGGAATTTCGCTGGACAATGTTTGGTCCCTGCTTCGCAAACCGATTTTCACTAGGCAACGATTTTGACAGCTCCCTCCGCACTTGCAAAACGGGTGTTTTCGGGACCTAAGCTTCGCAAGACAGCGATTTAAACAGCTGATTGGCAGTTCGCAAAGTGGCTTTCCTATGGCCGATCTTCACTAGACAACAACGATTCTTCCCCATTGGAACACATTAAACAGTTTTCAATGCATTCCAATGGGGAAATGCTTTTTGCTAGACAATGATTTCGCTAAACAGCGATTTCAGTGGAACGGATTATCATCGTCTAGCGAGGCACCACTGTACAAATATCGCTACCCTAGGTGGCTGAGCCGATTGGACCCCTACCCCCATAAACAGGACATCCGCTTCCGCTTCTGGGGCAGGTGGCCGTCATTGGGAAAGTAGGGGTTCCCTGCCTCCCCGCGCCACTGACCACTTGGTAGCTGAGCAGGGAGACTCGTCATCTTGCCTGCTTGCCGGATTGGTCAGCTGGGAGACGAACACAAGGATCCGTTCTCTAATCTGTCCTGATTTTCTTGCTGGCAGCTGGTGGGGAAAACACAGAAGAAAGCTATGTGATGCTCCTGCCTCTGTCTAGAAAAACACATTTCCATGTACAGTTTAGTGTCAAACAAAGGTGGCTTACTTGACTTGTATAGTGAAATCCAGCAGTTTGACTTAATAGTATTGGAGAATTAGGAGTGATTCAGAGACTATAAAGGATTGGGTTGGATTAAACACCTTAAAAGTGGTTTTACAAGTTGGTGCCAAAAATGGGGATAGGAAAAAACACCGGGCAGGTTGCTTTTTACAGATGAGAAGTCAGAGAAGAACGTTGAGTGTGGGGTTGTTTCTGATCAGTGATTCTGCACGGGCAAATATGTCCGTGCTTGATTTTCACACCCATTGTACTGAACGAAAGTGTTGGTCTTGCCAGCTTCACAAAAGGTAGCCTCGTTGTCACAGAGTGAAATGTGAGCTTTTGCCCTTTCCTAGGCTGGATGGAAGGAAAATCACGCCACCTTCATGAACGAGTTGAAAAATTTGCAAGCCTCAGGATTGACGACCCTCGGACAAGCTCTTCGGTCATCATTCGACCTACTGAACCTTAACCGATTAGTGTCTGGAATAGACAACTATGGACAGGTAATGGATGCTGACATTCAGTTCCTTTTCACTTCATCATCATGTCGGGGGGAGGGAAATCTCTGCAGCTCTCTCAGAAAGAGAATGAGAGCAGTTCTGCTCGGGTCAAAATAAACAGGCTGCCTGCAGAACCCGTACTTACCAGCCATCAGAAGCTGGAGGGTGTGTCTTTTGGCTGTTGTGGGTTTTTCGGGCTCTTTGGCCGTGTTCTGAAGGTTGTTCTTCCTAATGTTTCGCCAGTCTCTGTGGCCATGGGCATCTTCAGAGGACAACACTCTGTGCTCTGGTCCTTTGAAGATGCTGCTCTCCTCTGAAGATGCCGGCCACAGAGGCTGGCGAAACGTTAGGAAGAACAACCTTCAGAACACAGCCAAAGAGCCCGAAAAACCCACAACAACCATTAGATCCCGGCTGTGAAAGCCTTCGCAAATACGGTGCATCTTTTCCCCGGCCTCTTTGCTGCTCTTGTCCATGTGCATCTTCCTTCCCCTCTGCAGAACGTGAGAATAGTAGGCTGAAGCAGTAAAGCCGGTCCCTTGCTGCCTACCTGCAGCTGGGGAGCAAGACATGATGGGGTGTATAGTTAGTGGCAAGGAGGAGACATGGGCAGGAGGGTACCAGGGCTTAAACCTTCTTGCCATGGTACTCCCAGCTTCTACCCAGCTGTTCCATGGTAGACCTGCTTTTCGTGCTTCCATTTAGTTCTTTAAAATGCTGGGTTGAGTATATTTCTGATGACACATCCGCGTTTAAAAGGTTAACGTAGGTATTTTATTAATTTTTTTTCTATAGGGAAGGAATCCTTTCTTTTTAGAGCCATCTATTTTAATTACCATCACGGATGGAAACAAACTGACAAATACTTCTGGTGTCCAAGAGGAGGTAAGACATGTAACTCTGCTTTAAGGTGCAGTGATAGTTACAACAGACGCAACATGTTGGCTTGTTGGACGTTTAAAAATAGAATCGTTCTGGTATTTTGCAGCACGCTATTGTATTCTGGAATAACAGATTGATAACAGTTTGTGGAGAATTGTTCTAGGACTGCTTTTCTTTCCTGGGTGCTCAGTGATTTGGTCGCCTTTCAGCAGCCCCGTGAGTAACTCTCACCAGGAGCGAACATAGGAAGTTACCTTACAATAGTGGGCCAGAGTGTCTAGTTTACTGTTGTCTGCACTATTTGGCAGTGATTCTTGGGGGGGGGGGTTTGGTTGGAAAGGTGTCTTTTCACACCCCTGTCTAAAGATGCAGGAGATGGAAGCTGGAAACGTGTGCATGCAGAGCATGTGTTCTAGCCTGAGCTACACACTCTCTCAAGAAGCTAATAATCTGCTCAAGGTGACCCTGAGAGCTTCCTAGTTCCCAAGCAAACTCTTGAATAGTCTGTAGATCAGAAAACGGCTCTCTGCTCAGGTTCTTCTCTAACCCATTTCTGATCTCGCCAATGCCATAGGTTGTCGGATACTTTGCCAGTCGTCGCTGGGGAATTTTAGAAGCTGGAACTTGCTGCGTGTGCATTTTCTGTGAGGTTCAAACGTTGTTTTTTTGGTGGAGTCTTCAGAGGACCTGTGCTTTTTCTTTTCAGCTTCATCTCCCTTTGAATTCCCCCCTGCCCGGGAGTGAGCTCACCAAAGAACCGTTTCGCTGGGATCAGAGGCTGTTTGCGCTTGTCCTGCGATTGCCCGGAGCGCCCTCGGTGGAGCCAGAACAGCTAGGCAGTGTTCCTACCGATGACTCTGCTATCACACAGATGTGTGAAGTCACAGGAGGTAACCGCTCCCCTTTCTGCCGCTTCTTTCTTGCCTTTGCTGCATGTAAACCTATCTGCCTGGAAATAATGAGGGATGTCAGCGTGGTCACAGATGAACTTCATCTGGCTCAGATTCTCATTCACGTATAAAATACATGTTAAGCCCCTGTGTTTATGCTGGTGCCTCAGGTTATATACAGATGTGTGTATGAGCTCTGGTTTGCTTGGGGAACAGGCTGGCAGAGCCGTTCCAAAGCTGCCTGCAACATCTGTAAAGGATGACTCAACTTGCAGTGCTCTTCCTGGAGAGACCTGCCTTTTTTTGGCCCCAACCAGTTGTCTTCAAAGACCAAGACTCGCCAGTAGGAGCTAGAGGAAATAAGGCAGGCACTTGATATGCAACTGATTGATGTTCTTGAAATCAGGGTATTTCTCTTCTATGAATCTAGTGCTTGGAAATAACAAGTTGGAGGTAACATTCTCACTGTTGACTAGTTGATGCCAACGTTCCATGCCATTTTTTGACCAGTTCGACGTCCCACTCTCTGCTGATAACAGAAGAATACAACACCTTTTCAGTGTTGTGATGAGTTATTCCTCAAACATTGCGACAAGGAACAGGAGTGGATTCCTTTTGCAAATTCATTTTTGAAGTTCTGGTGAAATCTGGCTTTCACTGCAGGATCTTTTGCTCTTACGTTTTGCTCTTATGTTAAGATATGTATTTTGCCAGGGTATTCCCAAATCAAAAGTGCTCACTTCTGCTCTTACGTTAAGATACTGTATGTATTTTGCCAGGGTATTCCCAAATCATGAAAATTTGACATTTGATGCTATATTTATGTTCATAGATGACTTTTGAGATGCAAGTAGTATTGTTCCAAGGCATGAACAGAATAACATTATGTTGCTTATTTCCTGTAAGAAATGTGGTGTCTTTTAGGCCCACAGAGGTGTTGAGCTAGAATGATGTAGCTCTTTTATTGTTTGTGTATGTGTGTGTGTATGAAATTAAATATTCTCTGTAGCTTTAATCAATTCAGGCATTTGAAATGGGGGACTATACGTTCTAATGGCAGGTGGTTATTGTACCTCCTACACTAAAATATATTTGTGCCTTTTTGTATAGATCTCTTTTTGAAGTGTGAACTGGTAGGGTGGTAAAGGCTAATTCAGCCATAATCCCTGTTGTGGGATTATGTGCTGCTGTTTTTCCTGATGCTTTTTTGAAAAAGCATTTGTACATACAAAGCCATGATAGAAGCCTAGCTCTTAGCCGTGCAGTATATTTCCAGGAACTTCAATATATTTTCTTTCTAAACCTTGCTGTTTCTACATTTCCTGCTGTAGGACGCTCTTACTGTGTTCGGACACAAAGAATGTTGAATCAGTGTTTAGAATCACTAGCTCAGAAAGTTCAGAGCGGCGTTGTCATTAATTTTGAGAAATCAGGACCAGATCCGCCCCACATTGGGGAAGGTACAGTAAACTCTTTATGCTTTTTCTAAGTATTCTGACAAAAGGTGTGCAGACGTATTTAAGCCCAATAAATCTGACTCTGTGTCAATTGTAAAAATACGTAGATGATAAAACAAGTGTGGATTCTGTACAAAATTTTATTTTTCTCTATGCTGTTGACTCTTCTTCTTTAAATACGGTATTTGACTTGCTTGTGGTTTTCACGTGCTGTGATGCAACAAGAACCAAATCATAGTTCCTCAGATAAGTGTGTGTGTGTGTTTTGACCTTTGCATAAACATCTCCAGGATAGTGCCATGTGATGAATGATTGAGTCTTGATCATTTGCACAAATTAGAGAGTATATACAGTAGTTTGGTTTCGTATCAGAATGAAGCATTCAAGTAGTGATATAGCAAATAATGCTGCAAAGTTAATGCAACTTGTTTATTACAGATCTCTTTTTCTTTGATGTTTAGATGGACTTCCGGATACCACCAGGCCCGTCAACTCTTTCGGTTCTCAGCCGTGGCACAGCTGCCATAAACTAATCTACGTGCGGCCTAACCCTAAAACGGGGGTCCCTGTTGGTCATTGGCCAATTCCAGAATCCTTTTGGCCAGATCAGAATTCTCCAACACTGGTACGCAGTCGGTTTCAGAACTGCAAGAAGGTCCTATAAAACAGTGACGATGGTGGTAAAATGGGAAGCCGTGGCTTAAATCCAACGTGGGATTATTGAGGGCACATCCCTCTCATTGCTTAGCTTCTCCTTGCTCCTGAGATAATAAAGACCTAATTTTCAGACAATCATAACAGTGTTACGGATGAAAGGTTATAAAGATTTGAGGGAAGGGATGGGTATCCTTTTAAAAAAACAGTGCTGTATTCCTTCTCTGCAGCTGCTTTGGGAAGTTTCTGAGAGGCTTTGTGAAATGACAGTAACACTTTGTGATTTGTTGAAATGTCCGAATTTCATGGATAGCACATAAATAATTGGGCTAGATTTCATCCGGCGGCTTCTAAAGTGCCTTTCTTGTCCTTTGCAGCCTCCCCGCACAGCCCATCCAGTGGTGAGGTTCTCCTGCGTGGATTGTGAGCCCATGGTGATTGATAAACTTCCCTTTGACAAGTATGAACTTGAGCCATCGCCCTTAACACAGTACATCTTGGAACGGAAGTCGCCTCATACGTGCTGGCAGGTATTTGCTAAAAACTCATTGCAGGAAAGCTCAGCAAATGGGTAGGCAGTGGGGCAGAGGGTTGGGCTTCAAGAGTACTTAGTTTGTACGGAGAAGGGGTAGTTCAGTGGCAGGGTGTCTAAATTTCCGGTGTTCTTGTGACATAATCAAACTCTTTATTTAACAGTAATGTAGAAGCTAGAGATAACCAGAAACGGCACCTCAAATTCAGAAAGTTACAGGAGGAAAGATGGGAGTGTTCAGTTACTTTTCTTCTGGTGCTGGGCCTCAGCTGGCCAACATATTATTTGTGCAAGCTAGTGGCTTCTTGGAACTTATTTAACAGGTTCTGGTGACTGCCACTCTCTTCATGCCTTTGTAATCACGTTTGGCACCTCCTTCAAAGTTGTGCAACGCTTCCCGAACTTCTTGGCAGGGCCAGGAGAAATTGGCGAGATTCATGTCGAAGAACTCACAGAACTTGTCGACTAGGCAAAGAACAGATGACTAAGTGTTAAAACAGTCTTTGTGTTTATTTAAACTAAGAGGTGCTATATCGTTTTTGATGAAATTTGTAATTATGCTTTTGGGAGACATGTTGGATCAAACCTGTTTTCCTAACACACTGGTTCTTAACCTTTGTTACTCAGATGTTTTTGGACTGCAACTCCCAGAAGCCTTCACCATCAGCTCTGCTGGCTGAGATTTCTGGGAGTTGCAGTTCAAAAACACCTGAGTAACAAAGGTTAAGAACCACGCACCTCTCAAAGGCTGTTAAATCAGTGAACATTGATATTTCTACAGGCTGTGGAGTACTAGCTGAGGTTGGTAGGACACTCACAATGGCCTCCCCATAAGCGTTGATCTGCAAACCAGAGTTTGTGGGTCGGCTTTTGGCTCCTGGCTTTGCCTGCATCTCAGCATCTTCTGATCAAGTCAGTGCTTGGGAATTGCACGCTGCTCTTTCTTCCGGTTTTTAAGTTCTGCCCCACATTTTGATGCATTTACTTTTTAAAAAGATCAAATGCAGTTGCTGTTAGAGAAAGAGAGAGAGAGAGAAGCTTGAAGCAGACAGATCTGGTGCTCCAACTTTGCATTTGGAGAAATGTGAATTTTGAGCGACTGGTAGTTGTGAGTGTGTGTCATTTGTCAGGATTGTGTTGCTGCTGCTGTTAAAACAAGGAAAGAGCGTCGTAAAGAGTAAAAAGGCTTGTTTGGTGTACGCAGCTGCAAACGTAACAATTGTCAATTAAAATGTAAAACGAAGAGGTTACCAGTGGAGCTATGACAGGCTCCTTCCCTCCTTATGTTCAGGAGATGGTTGAAAACGGAACCATTCACAGCTGCCTTTGACAACTGAATCTTCCTGGATGCTGTTAATATCAATATTTTTTTTGATTGCTTTCGGTTTTTAAAGCAAAGTAAAGCAAAGCATGCTGCTTATGTTCCACCCATAGTGCTTAAAGCAATTTAATTATACAGATTACACGTTGTTCCCCTGTTGAGCTGAGTACTCAAATTTAACAGCATCAGAAGGCTGGGATTGAACCTGAGTTGTGAGCAGAGTCTCCCCTATTGAGCTGAGTACTCAAATTTAACAGCGTCAGAAAGCTGGAAGGCTGGGATTGAACCCGAGTCGTGAGCAGAGTTTTGGCTGCAGTACTGCAATTAAACCACTGCGCCGTGAGGCTGCTTGGTTTTTATATGGCTTTTTAAAAAACTGCTATATTGTCATATGTATTGTTATGCGAGGCCTGTGAGATTTTTAAGTTTGTGAGGCTGCTTGGCTTTTATATGGCTTTTTAAAAAAATTGCCATATTGTCATATGTATTATTATGCGAGGCCTGTGAGATTTTTAAGTTTACATTTGTAAATTGCCCAGAGTTGTGCGTGCACTAATGGGGCAGTATATAAATCAAATAAACAATACATTAAAAAAAAAAACCATAGATAAATTAAAAAGGGCTGCCTTGGAACAGTTTAGTCTTTTCAACAAAATGATTTGATTACTGATATAAAAAATTTTAAGGTCTTTGTCTATCTCAATTCACGAGAGGTCAGTTTTGTGTAGTGCTGAAATTGATACTTCTGCATGTTGTAGGGATTATACCTGAAATATTTAGTAAATCCCTTTCAGGCTAGTAAATCCCACAAGCTTCACGGCACAAAATTGATACAAGTTTAAAACAATGCAGTAGGAAAACAAATGTGTTATCAACGTTTGTGGTGGAACCGCCCCTCCAGGCAATAATTGTAACATCATTCAGCCACAATACAGACGGGAAATAAGAAAAAAAAATATAAACAGCAATAATACTAGCCCCTGAAAGCAAAATAATTGCAACTTGTATCCCCTGCCATTGCTAAACAAGGATCACGGTGCAGTTTCTGTCTTGCAAAAAACAACCAATGTGCATCATGTATTTCTTTTTTTAAAAACACCAAGAAAACACCTCTCGCCTTACAATTGGATATTCAAAGTCAGTTTCTGGATGCAGAATGTTGTTTATGCACGATGACACGGGCAGCCCAGGGAATTGTCATCGTAACCCCGAAATGCAACTCTGCCGGCCTCGAGCGTAAGCCTTGTCTTCTCCTCTGGCTGTTTAGGTCTTTGTGAGCAGCAGCGGAAAGTACAGCGAGCTGGGCCACCCCTTTGGCTACTTAAAGGCCAGCACCACCCTCACGTGCGTCAACCTCTTTGTGATGCCTTACAACTACCCTGTGTTGCTTCCTTTGCTAGGTGAGTAGCTCGTAGCCTTTGCCCCCACA